GTGAAAGATTACGACTGTACAATTCTTTACCATCCGGGTAAGGCTAACGTAGTCGCAGACGCCTTAATTAGGAAGATAGGATCGCAGATAGCAGTTTTACCCACGGTTCAGGAACACTTGGTAAAGGACTTTGAGAAACAGAGATTGGAAGTCACCACGCCGCCAACTTAGGCTACAGCGAGAATAAAAGCATTTATGATTCAAACTAGTTTTCGGGATCGAATCAAGAAAGCACGGGATAAGGATCCATTCCTACATAAAATTGAGGCTGATGTTGATATAAACAAATGTATAGGGTTTGAAGTATCTACAAATAATGCACTGACTTTAAGATAAAGGTTGTGTGTACCTAAAGATGAAAGTATAAGAAACGAGATATTGGAAGATGCTCATTCCACCCTGTATGCTGTACATCCTAGTAGTAAGAAAATGTATAGAGATCTCCAAAATACATTTTAGATACATTTTGGTAAAGAAAGATGGAGAGAGGAATTGGTCTGTTCGTAAAGAAATGTATTATCTGTCTACAAGTCAAGACAGAACATCAAAAGCCATCAAGGCCGCTGAAATCGTTGGATATTCCAAAATGGAAATGGGAATACATAGCGATGGACTTTGTGGTGGGTTTTCCGAGATCAACATGAGGTCATAATGTTATTTGGGTAGTGGTTGATCATTTGATGAAGTCTGCCCATTTTCTACCGATCAAAGTAAATTTTAATATGGAATAATTCTCTCAGTTATATATTATAAAGATAGTCAGATTGCATGGAGTTCTAGTCACCATTGTTTCAGTTAGAGACCCGTGGTTTTCATCGAAATTTTGGAAAAACTTACTAGGAGCCATGGGGACGAAGTTGAAATTTAGCACTGCTTATCATCCACAGACTAATGGACAATTGGAAAGAACCATTCAAACTCTTGAAGATATGTTGAGGATGTGTGTTTTGTCGTTAGTGGAGTTTACTTATAACAATACCTTTCAGGCTACTATAGGAATTGCCCCATATGAAACTCTTTATGGTAGGAAGTGCAGATTTCCCATCCATTGGGATGTGGTCGGAAAGAATAGAATTTTGGATGCT